GCATAGGTACATACAATACTTTAAGATTTATGTGGAAAAGTAGTTGGTGAGATGCAATCAAAAGATATGTTTTTGATATCATGGAGCTTTGTGATATCTTGAGGCTCACGCTGAGCAAATATTAAGGTAGAACAAATATTAATATCGCCGCTCTCGGCGGGGCATCTCGCCCCCGCGACGTACGTGCGCACGCCGATACATCATCCCCAAAGTCATTTATATTAGGTCCGCTGGAAATTATTGATGGTGACACGTATTAAGCGAAGCCGTCAGGCGAATTATTATTTTGTTGCCCGTTCTCTTCGTCTCGTTGTACGTTTTTTCTCTTGGCGGCGCTGCTTATTGTCGTTTGCTCCCGCATCCCGAGCGTTGTATTGGAATTTAATAACGCGGAAGGAAGCGGCGAGACAACAACGCACGATAATAGCGATCGTGAGGTTTTTTCCATGCAACTCTGCAAACATACAAACTTGATATGGAAACTATAGTTGCGTCGCTTTTATGAGATGTGAAAATAATACTCAAACAATACAGTTTTTTATTAATTACTAAAAAAGTTATTATTTTATCTTCAAAATTCTTTTAGGAAATAATAAAAGATTAATTTTAACATATAGTTTAAAATAATATATATTGGTAATTATATTTTCATAAAAGATACAGACAAATTTAAATGATACAAATCTTTTATTCAATTTTCAATCTAATTTGCATATAATTCATTATTTTAAATTCTGATATCTAAGATATTTTGCACATTGATTTAGAATTTTATTCTTTATATGTTTCCAAAGGAATTACACCAATATCACAAATAGTTCTCGAGTAAATTCCAAAAAACGACCACAAAGCAACTATAATTCTTGCGTCACGTAAGGACGCCGCAACTATACCCGATGAAAATGTTGCGAAGAAGAAGCAGAGGGAAGGTAAAAACGTCGAGCGCTGGCGTCGTAGATTAAACGTGTAATTGATTAATTGCACTCATCGATTTGTCGGTCGCGTGTCGCGGCGGGTCGACAGGCACAATGGTTAAACACAATGCGAGTGAAAAATGTCCGCCGGCGGTTTTAATGAAAACGTCAACGACAAAATTGCGCCCGCGCGTCGATACACGCGGACAAAGGCATAAATCCATGCGTGTCGTTTCGAAAAAATAAATAAATACTGCAGTCGCGTTGATTTACTCGTTTAATCGAATTCGTTTAATTTATTTCCTCTATCCAAAACTTTATATTTATAGAATTAGTATTCAATGAAAATACATTCAATAGAAACGTGTCTTACATTTAATTTGACGTTAAAAGACAATCGAACAATCAAAAACACCACCGGCATTATTTACCGACCGAGTCGAGGTTTTCTCGTCTTGTTTTTCTTTTCTTCCCTGCTAGTTGTATAAGAAGTTGTTGTTAATTCCGGGCATACGTCTTGTGCAAACCTCAGCGAGGTTGAGAACAAGTCGCGCGCTATTATTAGGTCATTGCATTGCTTTCGGAGTTGTTTTAGCCTAATTGCGCCATAAATTCGCTCGGGATGCGCGCCGCGTGGAAGAGGAATGTCCGTTTAAAGATTAAACTCGCTCACACAGATTTAAACCTGCAAACGTCGCGGCAATTGAAGGCAGATACAAGAGCGCATAGAGGAGACGCTGGCGCATCAAGGAAATTCAATTTTCAATCCGGTGCACAGAACAACGTGAGTGAACTGAATAGAATAGTATAGTACATGGCACAAGACACGACAAGACACGGCGTGGAAAAGTAATCAAGATAAAAACAGAATTACCAACCAAACAAACATTTTTTTCTCGCTAATTTTATTTAGTTGTTTGAATGAAACAAACTTGGTATTTTCAATTGTAAAGAATAAACTTTAATTATTTATGTCTGTAAGTATTTCGTTGGCCACAAATAACCTTCAGGAAACAGAGGCTTTGTGCATGTGCTTCATGCCAGCACGTGAATAAGAATGCCGTCTTGTCTTGCCTTCCGTTTTCGCTCTCCAAGGATACCAGCCAACATCCCAGCATCGTCGTCCCGCTTGTGATGTAGTTCTTTAATCGAATCCCCAAAGATTTGTTGGCTGTCTGGCTGCGGAAACGGATCGCGGCTTGTTTCCATTTAAGAAGATGCATCGGAGTGATCTAAATGTAATTGACAAAAACCCAAACGATTCGGCCCGAGTGCGTGCGGCCGAATGCGTATAATAAATTAAAAGAAAAACACGAGAAACACGAACGGCACGAATAGATGAGATGAGAGAGGCCAAGAATAGCAAATTTGTTCGCTTCTCGGAAACAGAGACGATTGCGTAATGTAAAAACAACGACCGTTTGATTTCACAATTGAAAAAAACGCCTTCAGTAATTATTATGTACAAAGAAAGGAGCTATATAAAGCTCAAATGTTTATTGGAATGTTTTATTTAAATTAAAAATACAAATATAACAAAAAATAATAAGTTTATTTTTGTTTATGATAATTTTTTTCATAAAACTTTTCATTATCTTGTATTCGTCAACTTTTCTTGATGAAAAGTAATATCACTTTCATTGCAATAATGAAACGAAAAACTTTTTCACTTTCCGCATAATCCGAATCCGGGGCCCGTCTTTCGACGCCGGGCAGTTAACTGCTCCTTTTCGTGATGGAGTTTTCGTGTTCTTTCGTACTTCCGATGCGGTTTTTTGTATTTTAGCTCCCACTTCGTTTGGACGGACGAAGATGATTTCCATTCATTAACAGATTAATTAAATTTGCATTCCGAAGGTGGTTTAACTTTCTTTTACTTTTCTTTTTCGAAATCTTTCCACCAAGTACGCAAAATATAAATTATTTACAAGGCATTTTATTTTATAAGTGAAAATAGTCGTAGATTGACATGGCCGAAAGCATCTTGTTTACATCCTTGCAACTTGACAGCTTAAATCCGTCCGGAGCGTCTTTAAATAATAAACATGCTTACTCTACTCCATCTTGAACCAAAGGGTTGACTGCAGACTTATGTTCGGAGAGTTGCCTCGACGTTTTCGCTCAGTATGATAGATACACCATAATATCGCATGTTTCTTACGCAAATATTTCAATTACTCACGAGTCGCCATCGAGTGCAACATTCAGCGCGCAGTGCAAGGTGCAAATGAGAATGGAAAATTTAATTACACTCGCGCGATGGGTGGGCGGTGTGCAAGTACAAGTAATGAAATGACGGCGCAACGTCGAGCGCACTCTGCCGCTTTAGTAGTTAAGCATAGGGTGGTGGTGATGATGGTGGTGGTGGCGACACTCTTTGCGCGATCCGCTCCCACCGTATGCAAACATTAAGCAAACATATCAAAGACACGCGCGAGTCGCATTCTGGATATTCGCCTTTATTGGAACGCCAACGCAGCCGCCGTATAAATCACGCGAGATATTTACATACTTGTGACACACGGAGGTGCTAATGCCTTCAAATTAGACATGTTTTATTCATGACACTTTAATTATGTCCTCTGCATGGCGCCGCGCGACGAGTGGCATTACCTGTGCGCTGCCGCCGCCGCAGCCGCCGTCGACGAGCTTTATTGGAAGTCGTTCAACGCCGACCGATGTGTGACGAGCGCGTGAACGAGCTTAAAAGCGCATATCCTCAATGTTAATACGCCACACAGGGTGATACATTCATCTTCATTCGTTGAAATATAAATAAGCCATGTCGGCAGTTTCAGAAGTAACAAATCGCTTATTAAACATTCATCAAATCATTATTATTCATCGATTCAAACTTTTGAAGTATCTCAATCATCGTTTGCATGTTCTCAAACTTAAATACTGACTCAATTTCAATTGGGGTGTTTTTTTTACAATAAAAATAAAACTTTTGCAATTTAAATCGTGTTTTTGTACAATTTATATGTAAAACTTATTATTGCTTGATTGAGTTTAATATTATGCTATTATATTGTAATTACTTTATTAATAGCTTGGAATTATAGCATTGTACCTCCCCGAACTATTAATAGTCGTGGAAAACATGTCAAATTTTGATAGTGATTACAGTCCAATGCATTTACTCCACCGATGCACCCCAAATATCAAAACAATAATATGACGTCATTGCAGTGATTCAGAATAAGTTGTTTGTTCATTGAATTTATATAAATACCGTAAGGTGGGAATATGATTTAAATTTGTTTGAGATTCTGCTGAGAGAACTTCGTTCTGCCAATGTAAGTAAATTGATAATCATACAGTTTTTGTTAAATAATTTAATTAAAAAATAATTTTAGATGAAAATTTTCGTCTTAATCATACTAACAATCCATGTTATGTCATTATCTTTCATACATGGTTCTCTAACATATGCAGACTGGAATGAACCTCAAAATTTTTGTGGCAAAGCAGATAAAATAAGTGAAATTTGTGATAGAACATATTACAATCCAAAAGTCGGAAAAAGATCAAATAATTATGACTTAATATTTCCGGAAGACACTTTCTTATATAAACCAGAATTGAAAAAAAATGATGCCTTGTATTTCCTACGTTTTAGTCGCAAAGTTCAAGAATTTACATTTAACCGCGAATGTTGTGAAAATCTTTGTGATGGTCGACACATTAAAAAACATTATTGTGGAAAAGTCTAATATTGAACAATGTCATGAGCAAAGAAAATATATTTATTGTATGTAATTTGTAAACAATAAATATTCAGCATCTTTTTTGTCTTTTTATTTGCGTTTAATATAAAAATTTTCTAAAAATTTTAATTTTTTAGGTATTGAATATGTGGCGTTATTGTCTTAATATGTAAATGTTAATATTAATAGCACAAAGTCATAAATATGCACATTATTAATGTGTTTGGTTGGATTGTCCTTTGTGGGCGTCATTGAAAGTGTCAAACGTTTAACACGAATTGGCGTTTCTTATAATAAGTCACAAAATAGTCCTGTCTGTTTATCATTAATGTGTGTAAACAGAATGTGCTGCTAAGATGTTTTGCGACCAAAGGATATTTCAAAAGGATATATAAACAGGTTATCTTGCAAAGGATTTCATTCCATCGACTAGCTTCTAAGAGATAACACACATAATCAACATAATCAAGAATTAATCACCCAAAAAGGCAAGTAAAGCACTTTTTAAATTAATTTAATAACATTTTAATAATATTTATTTGCAGATGAACAAACTACATTTTTTAGTTTTATTTTTGGTTGCAACTTCGGTACGTTGTAATGAAGATGGTGATTTTGAGACTTTAAGCCAAAATATTCAACAAGTATGCGGTATCCGGTTGGAAAAATTTGTGAGCAATGTTTGTAACGGAATGTACACGCGACCCGAGAAAAAATCCGGACACTTACAAGTTATGGACGAGGAATCAATGATGGACCGTTTCGAATCGCACGAATGCAAGAGTCTGAAAATGCTGGAACAGTTCAACAACGAAAACGAGCGTGAACAGAAAGCGCTAGGATTCAGACAATGGCAGGACGTGATTGGCAACGGTGGAAACATGGCGGCGTATTCTCGGCAAAGACGTGGCATCGTTGCTGAATGTTGCAGGCGTCCATGCACGTTGAAGCATATTCAGGAACACTACTGTGAGTTTTAAATTAACACATTTTATGCTTATGAATAGAATAGAATACTATGAACATATATTTATGTAGATAAATGTAATTAAAATATTAGAGAATTGAAAAAAAAAATCATATTTATATTGTTAGAATTTAAATAATATGCAACGCAAGAATAAAGATTAAAAGAAAATTGTTTTTGTTTGTTAAATCGATAAAGGAAACCAAATACGTTTTATTTTTCAGTTTTTATGTTTCCTAAAGGTTTCAAAAGCAAAAGAAGTATATCTGGTTGCCTACAGCGCTAAAGCTAACCTGATATGACCAAATAAAGTAAAAATTTCATAAAGTTACTGTTTTTTGCATTTGTTTTACTTATTTTAAGCATAAAAGTTGGTTTTAATAAGTTTTAATAAATTTTCTAACGTTGTTTGACGTTTCACGGTTTAATATAAGTTAAAACTCGTTCTATTCATGATAAATTTTCTAATTAAATTTCAATTTTACTTTTACTTTTACTTTTACTAATATCCTCGCCTATTCTTCATTGGTTTGCCGGAGATTGAATGACGTCCGGGAGTATAATGAATTGCAATTAGTTTTCATTGCACTTTATTATGAAATGATTAAAATGAAAATTTCATCGTCATCGTCATCTTGCGGGTGGTGCTGGTGCCTACCGCGTGCATTCAAATTTCAATATCTTTTGTAGTTTTATTCAATGCACAACGTCGCCGTCTAGATGGGCGTCGGTGTATAATCGTGTGAATGTGTGCGTGGGGGGCGGCAGCGTAAACTTTTAAAACTTTATTATTATATTCGCATTCATTTGCGCCGCTTCTTTGTGTTGATGGCTCGAGGAGCGTAAATTTATTATTTTTCGACCTCGTGGTGTTTGCTTATTGTTGGTTTTAATTAGAATCTGTTGTGTTTTGTGTTTTTTAGTTTGATAGGCGTTAAAGTAGGATTTAACGAACTAAATTCTACTAAAAGTTGAAATTTAAATGTTTTTTTTTTTTTTTTGGAGAGAAAATAATAAATTGGTATGAATTGTCGAATATCAATTAGAAAAAAAGATAACAACACATATTGAATATACTTGTAAAAATTATTGATATTTTATTGGTTTTAAAGTTATTAATCAATTTTATGATGATATAAAAATGTGGTTATAAAAAATATCTTTTTTGTGGATAAATGATACCAACGTTAAGCCCGTTGATGTGTATTGCGGTACGGATGCGGACAATGTTAATATTAAATTTTCATTAAAATCAGCGCCACGCAACGGGTGGCAGCGCCCGTCGGCCGGCTCAAATCGTAACTCGCAAAAGAGCAAAATTAAAATGCGATAAATGCGCGAACAAAGCGGCGGGCGAGCTCTGCAGGCGACTTTCATGCTTTCATACTTTCATGCGCACACGAAATGATGGAATACGAAATGTGCAGAACATGAAAAGAGTGTAAAGTTAATGTATGCGTAAGTGGTGTTCAGTTACACACAGGATGCACGCGCACGGCAAACACGCGGCGAGCATAATGCAAGTCAAAGCATATGTTATTAGTATTATATAATACTTATACAGCCCAAAGAGAACATTGTTAGTGTAGTAGTAACACAAGCAGCTAAAAGTAACGGAGACAGCTTGTATTGTACGAAGAGAACAAAAATGCGCGCAATGCGGATTAATTTCATGCGAGGATGTTAATCCTACAATTTTTTTTTTATATTTTAATTCCACTTTATACTCAACTGTTCAGCTGAGTGCATTGAGCATATACATATACCAAAAAATGCATATTTTTATTATTTGAGTGCGCAAAATTAATAATTAATTGTATAAACAGTTTTATGTTTCACACATTTTTTGATATATAATTCTGCAGCATATCACGATTTTTTTCTTATGTTTTTGCCGTGTGTTGCAGCCAGACGCGTCTGGGATACACCCATAAATAATAACTAATGCTTTCCACTCACGTAACTAATCTATGAGTGGAGGAAAGCGCCAATAACTGCCAAATCATCAGAACGCGAGCGCGTTACATATTAAAAACGCGCGCCCGGCGCCTCCAACGTCTTCATACGACCGCAGAATATCATACGAGCGCGTTTTTATTTTATATTTTTTATGCCGAAGCCGCACAATGCTACTTTCCATCCACGTACACACCGGCACGTCCACGTCCGCAACATCAACACAATTATACCAGCACAGGAGCATTTGTTGCGTTTTGCGCAAGGCGAAACGAAACGAAACGAAACGACTTTATGGTATTACGCCTCGAGAGAACTGGAATTACACAAAGATTTATTTATAGTAAAATAGCGAATAACTGTGTTAAAGAGAGATAGAATGGCCGAGGATGGGGCATGCTTTGCACTACTGCAGGACTGCTAATGCAATTCGAATTCGTTTCACATCTTCACAAAGAAAACATTTATTGAGTGTTTGGGAAATAATTTTAATTGCAATAATTTTAAGAAATATTATTATGTTTTTTAAATATATTTTAAACACTTGGTAATAAACAATTTTTCTTATATATTTTCATTGTTTGATGTTTATTTTATAGTTATAAGTCATTCTTCCAATTAAAACCAGACGTAGTAATATTTTATTCTTCAAAAGAAATTTTGTCAGTTTTTGTAATTCTGAAAATTATGAGCTAAAATTAGAAGCGTAATTAATACTAATACTTTAGCAATTTAATTTGACAGTAAATTTTCAATCATATATTAATTATTACCAATTTACATCCAAACCTTGTCAAAGCTTAAATTGTGTGGTACGATGGCAAATAAAGCTTTCTAATTAATTCGTCAAAGTTTGCAAAGTAGGCAATTTATTATTAATAAGAAATTTAAAAGTTCAATTTTCTTGCTGGTTTTCTTATGTACAGCATCCAACTGGTAATATTTGACTTTATCCTTCTCTGACTCTCAGCCGTCCTGGAAATCCTTTGATCCTTGCGATGAAAATATAAAGAATGTTATTGTAAAATTATAACTCGGCTCGCTCTAGGCTCTTTGAATTCAAAGAGCAATCATACTTGTTTGATATCCTTTACTCCTATCTAGGATATTAATAAATTCCTGTGAATTTGTTGAGAACTGGCTGAGAACTGAGATGAAAACGAAGATGAACAAAAGAAAGAAAATATTTCGTCAGAAAGCCGGGATAAAGCAAAATGATGAGGGAAAATCAAAAGATGAATAAGATGTGCATGGAAATGAATATCGGAATAGAAATGCATTTACACTCGAATAGACGCAAAAGCTCCTCGAGCTTTGGATTCATTGGCTGCGTCCAGTTATTGCTTTTTCGCCTATTATTCGGCATCAAAATATACACTGTGTTTAAAGATACATTAAAGTAAACAAAAAATAAATCGCAGTATTTATAATAAATAAGACATTTTTGTTGGTGGAAAAATATATATTCTAATAAATAAATATGTTTTTGTTTATTTGTAGGATACTATTGTTAACTTGAACACATCCTGTACAATTTCAAAAGGTTCTAAAGCCGGTGGGTTTTTGAAGATGGAGGTTAAGCTCTTTTTTCGGCGTTTGAAGCGGCAGCATACGGAAGCATGCGGACGTCTTAAAATATTACCCCTAGAAAAAGGACGCGCGAGGAGCAAATAATATATTATTTGGCAATACTCGCGGCATCTTGACGGGATAAATAACGCCAGCGGGCACTCCTCCTTTTGTGTCGCGCGAAAACCAGAGCATATTTGTTTTATACACATTTGTTTATTTCTCTATTAGTTTCAAATCAAAAATTAAATTAAATTCTTTATCACCCAAATATTTTCAAAACTTAAGACATGTATAAAATGTAAACAAAAATATGATTTATAAAGTTATTTAAAAAAACGAATATGGCAAAAATGATAGGTTTTCAAAGCATGTAAATTGCAAAATATAATTTTGAACACTGTTCATGTTTGCTAAAAAAACATGAGCATGTAATGGATGTTTACGTTGTTTTCGACACAATGGGTGCCTAGAAATTGCATGGAAATGCGGCAGCTGATACCGATTACATTTAAATAATTGCTCCACTATGTTGTTGGAGCTGCTGCTACCTTTTTTTCATAAAGTCGACCCAAAAATATTTCGCCAATAACGGTGCACCTAATATCTAGCAAAAATATAGACTATACACAATCCTTTATTAAAGTTTTGTTTAGCTTTTCGAAAAAGCAAAATTTATATACGGAATTTTAATAATTTTATATTTTTACAATGAAATAATCAAGTCATAGCTTTAAAAAAATGTTTCATTTTGCTAATTCTCAGCAGTCTTCATCGCTTGGTGGTGCAAATATATTTTCCGGTGGATGTAGAGCTTAATTCGGTTTGCCGCCGAATGATAATAACAAATTTGCATAAGAAATTAAGTCCGGAATAAATTTACGCTGCGGCAACGCCAACTTCATCATCTTCATCTCTTTGTCCTTGTATCTTCCTTCCAGATCAGCTGCGATGTTGCCTCTAGCAGACTTTGTTTTCAGTATTCGTTTTTGCTGCATGATTTACACGTACTGCAATATACCTTCCGAAATAAATTAATTGCAAGTAATATTATATTATAAGTACTTATATTATGATTTAATGTATGTTCGGATCTTTAAATCCAATTCAAGTCGTAAACATCGTTGAAATATTGACAGAAAAAATTATAGTGGTATTTCAGACACGTATTAAGCGTATTTACGAGCGTTGTGCCTGAAAATCTTCCACTTTACCACAATATAAAAAAAATGACAGGGAAAAAAATTGACACATAAAAACCACCGGCCGAAGCCACCGCATGCCACGTCGGGGACCAGGCTTAAGTGGATTTCGTCATGTAGAACTGATTTTTTCTTATGTAATAAAGTTAATGTGCATAACGGAAGTCCCGATAAGTGCGGTTAAAAAGTACATTATCCTCACCGACGTAGCTAGGCAATGCTCCGGTCATAGTTGTGATGGTTTGGTGGGCTACATACTCACACTTCAACATTGCGCAACGTTGCCAAAACGTAGACTACTTTTTCTTTCGTTATCTCATTTTTATCGATATTTCGGAATCTAAAAGCGATAGAGAAAAACGGATTGCAGATTTTGAACCTTCGGAAAATTCTCTATAAGATAAGTAATTTAAATCATAAATATTTGGTGGGTCAAAATTATTT